CTGGAGCCATACCGTGTCACGTTCAGCCACACATGTGGTTTCCGCCCCGGTCCTAGGGTTCATGAGCTTCGGCAGGGACCTTCCAACCATTTGGCGGGCCTTGCTGCCCAATCCCGCCTTCTTAGCCCGCTGTAAGATGGACGCCACATCGGTGGGCCCCGTAGCTGCCAGTCCGCGCAGAAATTGGTCCTTCGCCGCAGCAATCATCTTACGGATCTTGTCCGTGGCAATGCGGACCGCCCCGGCCACAAGGTCGTAGAGGAGGGCTTGCTTTTTGAGACGGGCAACGAAGGGGGTCGGGTTGTCCTCCTTCCAAGCATGTACAGCGGCTCGAAGCATACCACTCCACAGTCCGCGTCGATGCCTGGTTCGCCACCGTAGTTGGCCCTTTCGTCGTCTGATCGCCCACACCTCGCTCGGGATGTAGGAGGCTCTTCCGGGCTGTTCCGGTTTGGGGAAGTAGGTCTCCAGGGTCTGCTTCAAGTGCACTTCTACTCTGTGGCAGTGTTCATCCGGGTGAACCTCCCACGCTGGCTGTTGGAATGCACGGCAGGCCTGGCTCATTAGTCTCCTCCCCTCCGCCGTGTTCATCTTGTCGAGGTCATAGCGAGGGCGTTTGAGGCGCCCGCGTAGGTGTCCAACACACAGTTCTCCTTGGAGTTCAACCGCAACAGCTCGATGATCATCGTTCGGACTGCCGTTGTCGATCTCTTGGTCAACATAGCTCCGAGCCCTGGAGACATGAGCAGTACCACCCAAGAGCAGGTAGTCAATACGGCTCTCAAGGCCTGTGTGGTGGACATGGGTGGCCGACTCTCCCACATGGATACTTGCGTATGTGGACGGTGCCCAGACTCCACAATCCTGGAAGATCTGGGCAGCCTGTTCCCCCTGGGCATCCGGGTCCTGGAATTCCAGGTCTCCGCTCACGTTGGGGTAGTTCAGCGGGAGTCTGCCATTGAGGTCAACTCCCACCAAGAGCAGCTGGACCTTCTTGAGGCTAGCCAAGTGCCGGGTCAGGAGCTCCAGGAAGTCGCTGCGCTCCTTCGGCTTCGTGGCATGTGGACAGTGGGCTGCCACAATCCCAATCTTAGCTTGTCCAATCTTGCTCACAACCACCAAGAGCCTGGGCGTAGCACAGACCACAGCGGTGTTGGCCTCCTCCGGGTGGACTGCATGACCATTAAGCTCCATGATGCCTTTGGTCTTGCTGAGCCATATGGCTGTGCCCCAATGACGCTGTGCGTCCGATGCCAAGCGATAGTATCGCTGGCTTTGGCACTGTCCACCTCCCGTCTTAGTCTCCTGCATCATCACCACATTGTACTCCGCGCTTTCAAACTGTTCCTCCATGTAGCGGAAGTTGCCGCCCAGGCCTTGAACGTTGAAAGTACAGGCCTTGAGGTAGAAAGCGCTGCTGTGGTCGGGGGCAGCAGATTGCTGTGTCATCTCAGTAGGGATGAGCTGTTCAGGCTGTAGAAGGGGGGGCTGTCTTGGCATTTCCGACCAACACAGATTGCCGTCATAGACTTGAGCTCCCCCATTCTTTCTGGCCGCCATCTCAAAACCGAGCCAATCTAGATTGGTGTCGAGGAGTGCTCTGCATGTAGCTTCCGGTGGTTCAGCAAAGGAGCGCTGACCTCTTGAGGCACTTTTTGCAACAGCATCCGCGAGCTCATTCCATCCATCTCCAGAGTGGCCCTTCACATGCGCGATCTGGACCGTAACCCCCTCCAGCTCGCGTAGGGCTAGTTCAAGGTTGTGCACCTGTACGGAGAGGGCATCAACCGGAGACCAGCTTCCATCCGCCGCCCTGCCTGCAGCAAGGCAGTCCACATGTAGATGACAGTCAATCCGTGGTAGTAGGGCCCGTGCTTGTAGAGCCCAAAGTAGGGCTGCCGCTACAGCCACTTGCTCCGCGGTAAGGGCCGCCGGGCCTGCAAGGGGCCACTGCGAGGCCGGTTTGCCCAACAATTGGCCACCGAGGAGTCCGAAGATGGCAAAGGCTGTTCCGAGCTTGAGCAAGATAACAGCCGAGTAACCACTGATTCCTTCCTTTTCATTTGCAGATCCATCCGTGTAGATATGGATCTGCGGAGCTTCATGGCTCTCATCCATCAAGAGCTGTTGCCAAGGGCAGGCCTGCCGTACTGCCGTCTCGGCCTCAGCATTCATGTCTAGTAGATCCTACTATATATATATATATACTACACTATACTATACTATACTATACTATACTATACTATACTATACTATACTATACTATACTATACTATACACACATAGATGGACAAATAGATGGGTAGGTAGGTAGGAAACATGATAGGTCCTCTAAGCCCATCGTGACTGCAGGCCTCGAGCTTGCCACGGATGCAGGCCATGAGCAGAGGTGTGCAGCCGGCGTCGTCCGCCCGATCCTTGTCGGCGCCGGCTTGCAGCAGCAGCTGCGTTGTGAGCAGGTCTCCATCTTCCTTTGCACAAACTCTTTACGACAGGATGCCTCCGTTTCTATGCGTGGAAAACATCTAGACGCATGAATGTATACAACGAAGAGATCCCTAAAGTCCCACACTTTCGACATCCGTGAATCAGAATTGCCAGCGGCAGCCATCCGAAGAGGCGTCGAACCGTCTTCGGTCGACTTGTCGGGGTTGGCCCTTTGCTCCAGCAGAAGCTGAGCAACAGAGGCATGGCCGCAGAGAGCTGCCTCGTCTTGAACGCTTCCGACTCCGCGTGTGGAATCCTACCATCTAACTTCGGCCTCGATCTGGGTGTTTCTCGTTTCCTACCTTCGTTACCACGGCAAGCTGCCATGTAAAGGGGCGTCGCACCAAAAGTGTTCAGCTCCTCCTTGTCGGCACCTGCCTTGAGAAGCAAGCGCACGGTTTCCACACAACCATCGGCAGCCGCCTTGCAGGTTTGCACATATTAAAGACACTGTTTGGGTCCCCGTGCACGTAGTCGAGTTGAGGGTTTGAAGGTCATTCAAGCTTTCCCTGGCGACTGTGGACTGGTCCTGCCTGCGAGAGCATGTGCACAATTTCCGGATGCGCATTCCCTGCAACCTCATTGCTTGAGGATTTCTCAATGGCCTCAGGGGTCCAAGCAGGTGCTAGAGGACCAAGGAGCAAGCCGCCACATCTCTCTGGGCCTTCTGCAAGGTAGCACCTGCGTCAACGAGAAGTTCCGCGACTTCCAAGTGGCCATGCAAGCACGCGACGAGAAGGGGTGTTCGTCCCTCGACGTCCGCCTTCGGCGTTGAGGTGTTGGGGTTCTCTCAGACAGGAACCTTTGTGCCACAGGGGCTACTGGCATCTTTCCTGCGAATACATGAAACTTTACTTGCTTTCTGCTTCGCAACCTCTTCCGCAAGTGTGCGGATGCTTCTGACACAGTTGCCTACTGCCTTTGCCTGTCTGATTGCTTGGCGCTTGCTTGACTGCACTTTCTTAGCAAAAGGTTAATCAGGGCTGTCCAATGTTCGACTCTTCGACTACGTCAGACTACGTGGCTACGCCTGACTGTGCCTTGTCCACCTCGGCCGAGGCCTCGGTAAGCAGCCGCACGCCATGATGGGCGCCCTTCAGTGGAAGCACTGCTGCCAGGGGCGTCTCCCCGTCTTTGTTGGCCTGATCCACATCGGCACCGGCCTGGAGGAGGAGATCGGCCACCTCCAAATACCCTTTGCGGCAGGCTAAGAGCAGCGGAGTCCAGCCGTCCTTGTCGGCCGTGGCAGTATCTGCCTGGTTTTCTAAGAGAAGGCGTGCAGTTTCAAGTTCGCCAAGTTCTGCCGCCATTCCCAGCGGCGTCGACCCGTGCCGGCTCTTGCAGTTCAGGTCGGCGCGTGTCTCCAGCAGCACCCGAGCCACAGCCGAGTGACCCCGCAAGACCGCCATGTGCAGAGGGCTCTTCCCACAGCAGCTCACCCTGTCTTTGTCCGCGCCAGCCTCGACCAGAAGCCGGGCGGCTTCGGCGAGCCCGTTGGTCGCTGCGTTGAAGAGGGGAGTCTCTTCCCTCAGGTTGGCCTTGTCTGCATCAGCCCTTGCTGCCAACAAAGCTCGGATCACCTCCAGGTGGTGAATGTCCACAGCTTTGAACAAAGGGCTTGAGCCGCGGAGATCCGGCTTGTCCACATCGGCCCAGGCCTCCAACAAGAGTTCCACAATGTCAACGCGGCGAAGCTGCAGTGCCAAGTGCAATGCAGAAGGTTCAGGAGACGACCCTGGCTTCGAGATCAAGTCCGGATCCTGCGGCCTTTGCAAGATCGCTTCGACCTCCTGAGCGTAATTATTGACAATTGCTTGCATGAGCCCCCGACACTGCGCTTGCGTGGTCTCTGAAAAAGGCATCACCACCAATTGCAAGTCCAAGGAGGTTTCGAGCAGCTCCGAATCTTCCAGCAGGACGCCATCGCGCAGCAGCCTCTGCTTGAATCTCGGCTGCCCACACAGCGCTGCCAGATGCTGCTTCCTGAGTGCAATCGCTTTGTCAAATGCTGGGAGCTGCTAGGAGCTAGGCAGTCAGGAACTTTTGGGAGCGACAGGACAACGGAGTGAGGCTTTCTCTCCCTGCCGTCACCTGCCGAGCCACAGCACCAGCACGGAGGGAGGCCACACTGTTGCGTGCGGAAGATCCTCGATGTGCACCACCAGCGGCTCCCCTGATGCCAGGTACACCCGGCACATCACGCTGCGGCACGATGGAGGGCTGAGGCAGCTCTAAACGCAGTCTACACATACAAGAAACTTGTCCGTACCAACTGAAGCTTCGTGTTTGCTGCAATCCTAGAAATCAAAACAGATCGAGTACCGGATGGTGGTATCATATGGATACATCTGAAGCATCTCGGCTGTATCAGGCCCACGGTTGCAAGCGCAGCTGCACACGATCCACATAGGATGCACTCATGAACCGACCTGCCGTGGACCGTGGAGTCTGAAGTGTGATCGAATGGCTCAACAGTTGTTTCATGCTGCTTCATTGCGACTTGCGCTGTGGGCCTGGGCATCGCCACTGGCACCCAGGGAGGCCAACCAGGCACCACCCGGTGCCGCGGCGTCAGAGCCTCCCTGAAGGAAGAGGAGGGACCCCGCCCATGAGCGGTCGAGCGCTCGGGCTTTAGGAAAGTTCTTCTGATGTCCAAACATGAGACTTAGAGTTTGGGAAGCTCAGAAAGCTGCATGACCACACAGGCACCAGGTCTAGAGTCTGAAACCCCGCTTCCGGAATCCCAAACCCTTAACCCTAAGTCGGTTCAAACTTGTGGACCGTTGCGAAACCCCACACAAGAAACCCCAAACCCACAAGCCCCAAAATCTATGGAACTTAAATTGATCCCAAACCCAGACTGCACCCTCAGCCCTCAACTCGCAGGATGCACTTTTCTAAGAATCCCGGCTTCCTCGGTGCCGGGAACTTCCTCGACACCCTCGTCTTCTTGCACCTGCTGACATGCTCTTCGAAGTTCACAATTTAAGTTTTTTTGCTGAGAGCACAATTTCCGCTCAACTCAATCGGTGATTTCAACTGCGACTGAGGGCATTTCTCTACAGTTAAGCTCGAGTGAATCACGAGGACTACATTCAAAATGGAGGACGCTCTAAGCGTTTGTGGATTTAGGGGTGAAGGGCTTATGGTCAAGAGGGCTTCGACGCTGGAGGACTTGGGGCTTCGGGAGGGCCTTCGGGCTCGGGCATTTTTTCAAGCTTGGGGCTTTGGAAGCCTCAATGAAGGGTGGTTGCAGTAGCAATTGGTACGACAAGGTTGCAGGAATGCGAGTCCTTGATGATACTAGAAGCGGTGCCCATGCGGCAATCGTTGAATCACCAGCCACAGCAATAGTGACAACTGACAATACAGCCTCGACAAGAGCTTTCATGGCACCAGTAGCGATAGCGATAGTTGTAGCACAATATTTGCCTGGTAGCAAAGGTACCAACTGAGTCCGAGCCGCTGGCAGGCAGGTCGGACTCCCTTCGCTTGGGGCCACCTCTCGGAGGCTCCCAAGTCCCAGGTCTCCCCTTCACACTAGACTCTGTTACACTACAAGCACACACACACACACACACACTCCGGAATGATCCTCCGAGGGTGGCAGATCGTTGCACACACGGATAGCAACCAAGTTGTAGCGACACGCGCACACGGAAAGAGAACAACACAATTCCGAAGGTCCTTTGGGGATTCAGCCTGCTCCGGAAACCCTGAACTCGGCTACAAGGCTTGCTGGCATCTAGCAGTGGAAGAAATCTCCGGGCTCGGGCCTTTGAAGACCCGAGCGAAGGCGGGCGCAACCTCCACTCGCCTTGGCTCAGAATTTTGGCTAGGTCCTCGGTCCTCCTCGACCGAACTGTCGAGCCTTGTTGTAGGTAAAGTTTCGGGAACCCCGCCATACCCTGCTCTTGGGAGCCACCTGCCCAAGCGCAGGCTTTCAACTCATCTCAGGTCGGAGCTGACCTGCACTGCTCTGCCGCTTTGCCTTCTTCTTTCTGTCGCCCTGGCACGGGGCTGCAACTGGGGGGCAACAAAAAGCAGCAGCAAAAGAAGAAAAACTAAGCATAGACGACTCATGCAACCGACGCTAACCAGCAAATCCTGGCATCCTGAATACTGAAGCTACGAGAAGCAAGCATCCCAGTCCAACTGCCGAAAATGCCAGTGGCAATGGGCATACCTTGAACCACACACTGAGACAAACACACTAATGACAAATGTGCACAAGCTTCCACCGTCCATGCATCCATCCACCCATTCGAGAGAAACAAAAACATATGTTGTAGAAGATCGACGACTTGTGGAAAGTAGAAGGACAAGAGCAAGAGATGTAGAGTAGGTATCGGTATAGATATGCACAAAGAGGCGGAGAGGGCGAGAGAAAGGAGAGAGAGAGAGAGAGAGAAAAAAAATCACAAACCGAGAGACAGAGAGATCGAGACAGAGAGATCAAGTGTCAATATAACATCGCAAAACAGACGGCTCAGGTGCGTATCCAGCTTTTTTTCAATTCTTACTTCCTTACTTGCGTGTTCACTCACTCACGCTCACTCATGTGCTGCTACCTACACCTACTTAAATTAAAGGAACTACACTTGCTTACGCTTACTGGCAATCACTTCCACTTGCTATACTTGTATTCACGTCTAACTTACATACACATACTTGCACTTGCTTTGTTGTAAACACTTTAGACTGCTGGAGTATTTGCTTACTTACTGTACCCGCCTGCACCTACACGTGCATGTCTCTATGACCGTCATGTTCGCTTGTGTGTGCATGCATGTATATGCATGTGTACATGTAAGCAAAGGTACGTGCACATTTGCATGTGAGTGCATGTGCATGCGAATGTGTACAGGTATGATATGCATATGCATAAGCAGATAAACAAATATGCGTATGTGCATGTGTAGGTATGTATATATATATATATATATATATATGTATCTACATGAATATGTACATGTACATGTATATGTAGATGTCTACGTTTAGGTACGTGTATATGTGTCTATGTATCTGTATATCGTCAGATGTATATGTATATGTATATATACCTGTATATGTGCATGTATGTCAATGTAGATGTACATGTAGATGCATATGTTTATGTATTTGGATCTGCCTCTACCTCTCTGTGCCTGTGTATCGTACACACATGTAAAGTTACATCTACGTATGTGCGTTTGTGTGCGTGCGTCCTTATGCTGTTGTACTCAACATACAGACGAGAGGAGATGGATAGATAGGCAAAAAGAAGACAGAAGATAGACGACAGACAGATATGGGTGGTTGTCAAAATCAAGGTCCCTTTTTGGGTCCCTTTTATAATACGGCACCTAGTATTTAGGGCACCCAAAAAGGGACCTTCATGTTGACAGCTACCCATATGCGTGCAACGAACAGAGTGTAGACGGTCCCCCCCGCGCGAACTCAGGGCCTGGGGCTCGCTGCCCGGTGGGATTAACGGAGCCGCCTCGGCGGAGCAATGCCACCGGTGAAGCGGGTGGGAGATTTCTTTCCTTTAGCACCGGCCGGTTTCAGAAACCGAAACCGTCCCAGACATGCCCAAGCATTTCTTGACTGGTTCTTGCCAGCCTCTGCTGGCGTAAACCGCCGCACAAGAAGCTTTGCGCCTGCCGAACGGCCATCCCTATTTGTGAAGCTGGCTGTTTTGCATGAGGCTGACAAGATAGCGACACTGCCCAAACAGAGCTTCTGATTCTTCTTGTTCACTCAACCTTCAAATCAAAGCAGAAAAATTCTTAGCACCGGATCTGCGCCTAAGCCTGACGTGGGCATCAGCGTCCTGTGCGGAAGAGCTAACACTGCCGCCAGCACACAGTGTTACAGAGTACTACAACGAAACGGAGCTCCGATGCAAGCCGGCATTGCGAGCTGATTTACGGGCCCCGCCTTTATCGGGTTTATGAACCTGAGGCTCCGGGCGGGGATCCGAGAGTCTGAGAGACCAGTGGCACATTATGGCACATGTCAGCTCAAAAAAACATCGGGCACAGCCCAATGCCTTAGGGCCTAAGACCCCTCGATCCCTCAGGCACCGGAGCTGCAAGTCCTCGGCGACACGCCATGCTCGCCAGAAGCTAGTGCCGGAGAAATGTTACAGATCAAGACGTGCTGCATCATGGTTAGAATGGGGTAGTAAAGTATTGAAACGTAACTTGAAAAGATCAGTGCCTCGGTGGCCCTACGAGGTCGGATTGCTGCATTCTAGGCCCTGCAGCCTTGTACCACGTAAGAAGCCAAGCAGCTGCGTCAAAGTCTTGCAGGAAAAATCGCAAACAGGACGCGCTCACTCCTGTGCCTTGCCAAGGGCCAAGGGATGATCTGTGACAATGGGCTCGAAGTCCGCGCCATTGCAGGGCAGGTCCTAAGGTCAGTTGATTACTCGAGTCGCTTCTCGCTGCCTCCCTCTTCTTGCTGTTCAACTTTCAACAGAGACTAACAACGTAAAGCACGAAAGGATGGCGTGCCTCGTCTGAGCTGCGGCCACACGGATTGAAATCCTTGCCGGGATAGGTGGGCTGCGGATTCTTGCGTATGCTGAGTGGGTCTGGGCAGTTTTAAACCTCGGAGGCAACAAGACTTCCCAAAGATGAAGCACTCACTCACCGCCCCCCTTCAAACTCCAAAAGCACGCACCTTGCTGGGCCGAATTACGTACAGCGCGATGAGAACTGTCGTCCAAACGACGATGGCCAACGACAATACCTAAGTAGTTGCATGTATTGTTGTTGGTGGGGTTGTTGTTGTGGCCGCACTCGCAGTGTCGCAGTCGTGGTAGTAGTAGTAGTAGTAGTAGTAGTAGTAGTAGTAGTAGTAGTAGTAGTAGTAGTAGGAGTAGTAGGAGTAGTAGTAGTCGTAGTAGTAGTAGTAGTAGCGGTAGGAGTAGTAGCATCAGTACTCCACTGCCACCACGAGCGTGTACCCCACTCTACAACCAGAATCCCTTCTTTACAATCAGAATCCCCACCTCACAACCCAGAAGCTTTTCCGGAATCCCTAATTTGCAACCGGTTGCGAAAGCTTCTTAACAAACCTAATAACTGACAACGACAAAGCTGGAATCTCCAGCGTCATCCTTTACAGCAACCATGCGGGTTAGCAAGTAGTGCTGGTTGCAATGTGGGCGTTCTTAAGCCGAAATGTATATGTATATGCCATACAATGCCATACAAGTACTTTTAAAAATTGTGTTGTTTTGTTTTTGTGTGTGTTTGCGTTTGGGAAAACATAATGCAAAACTGATTTTGTACACAACCAACCCACCAACCCACTGCAGGCAAGGCTAGGAGTGTGAAGCACATTAAAGTATAATCAGCACGCCGCTTCATGCACGGACTCTTTTCTCAGCAGAGTGGACATCGTTTCAATTACAGATACTTGTATATCAAAACCAATACTTGGCCCCAAGACTGACGCCGCTCGTCGGTTGTGCATGGTCGTGCTCAGAGCCACTGGCCAGGTCTCTCAACATCGTCTTGACTGAGCAGCAGTTTAGCTTTTGATGTCTGTTGCCATAAGTGCTTCGGACTGTTCCTGCAAGTGCTGCGGCTTTAGAGCACAGCACTGAGCTCTTGAAGCTCCAGCAATATGCTGTGCTACTCGATAGGTGGACGGATTCCGCTGCGTGTTGATTGAAAACTATTACTACACTACTACTACTACTACTACTACTACTACTACTACTACTACTACTACTACTACTACTACTACTACTACTACTACTACTACTACTACGACTACGGCTACGGCTACGACTACGACTACGACTACGACTACTACTACTACTACTACTACTACTACTACTACTACTACTACTGCTACAGCTACTGCTAGCACTACTAGTAGTACCAGTAGTACCAGTAGTACGTACTAGTGCTGGGGCCTGCTTGGGGTGGTGTCAGTGGTCGTGGTCGCGGTCGTGACATGGTCTTGGTCGTGGTCGTTGTGGCAGTGGTAGGTGGTAGTGGTGGCAGTGGCGGTAGTTGTTTTGCCGTTGTAGTTGGAGCTGTAGCTGCAGTTGCAGGGGTTGTTGTTGCTGCTATTGCTGTTGTAGCTATTGTAGCTGTTGTAGCTGCAGTGGTCGTAAAGCTCGTAGTCGCAAACACTCAGTAAATTCGTACACCCTGCTTTTCACAGTAGCTCCTCTCCGGATCCGGAAGCACCTCCAAATCAACACGAACCCAGCAGAACTTCAGGTCTGTACATCTCAGCCACTACTAGCACAACGACGACCATTTCCGCCGTGACCAAGGACATTCTAGATAGCCATGTCAATCTCTTCCAGTGAGGCCCGTATCCTTCCCTCTGCTGGGGACGACACCGCAGTGAACTTGAGCCCGCTAAGATTTCGCAGGC